TGTTTGATGAATGTTCTCCCATGTTCCATACACTGTTTGATGAATGTTCTCCAATGTTCCATACACTGTTTGATGAATGTTCTCCCATGTTCCATACACTGTTTGATGAATGTTCTCCTATGTTCCATACACTGTTTGATGAATGTTCTCCTATGTTCCATACATTGTTTGATGAATGTTCTCCCATGTTCCATACACTGTTTGATGAATGTTCTCCCATGTTCCATACACTGTTTGATGAATGTTCTCCCATGTTCCAGGCATCAGGGACTATGTTCCCGAGGATATGGAGACTATTCTGTTCCGGTTCTACTCCTTCGCAGACTCGGGAGACTGTAGCGGCCGAGACTGCCGCACCCCACGATCAAGACTTGTCAACAACAACGGGTAGCACCACCCGAGCCACGACACAGCGGTTTGATGTTTTGATTGAAAATGGGATTCTTTAAAGATATATGTGTGTATATATATTAACAGAACCAGTGAATTATGTGTCAGTACGCTAGCGTTGAAAGCTCTATGGTCATACTGACAGTGCCAGTACAAATTACCGTTTTACTGGTTGGGTCACATGATTGAGTTTGAATCACGTTGTAATCAGGTGGAAGAGCGAGGGTCACGTCGCTGGATCTCATCGTCTTGCTTTGTCATGTGGGTGGAGCTGAGTAACCTAGAGGAATGAAGATGGATAACAGGGTTTGGGTCACATGGTAGGGTTTAAAACATGGGTTGGGTCACATGTCAGATATTTGATGTCCGACTTTAATCCACTGGTAGGGGTTAAATAACGAAGATTTAAGCCACATGGCATATGTTGGATAACACGGCTTGGGTCATATGACGTTAGTTTGATAAGAAAGTTTGGGTCAAATGGAAGGGCTTGAAAACAGGGGTCGGGCCACATGGTAGATTTTGATAACAAGGGTTGGTCACATGGCACATTTTGGATAACAGGCTTTGGGTCACATGGCAGACTTTTGATAACAGGCTTTGGGTTACACGGCAGATGTTGGATAACGGGCTTTGGGTCACATGGCAGCTGTTCAAAAACAGGCTTTGGGTTATACGGCAAATGTTGGATAACAGGGTTTGGTAACATAGAGATGTTGGATAACAGGGTTTGGGTAACAAGGCAGATATTGGATATTATTATTCTGATCTGTTGTTAGGGGTTGGATTGACGACAGAAATTAGATCGCGCGGTAGGGTATCAGCTAGATGACAGGTTAGATGTGAGTGACTGTAGTGAATTGCCCATGCTTGAACCTAGCCAGGCGTTAATGGTTTACTCTGTAACTGATAATGCGATAATAAGCGAATTATATATGTCGATTCTATTTCCGCCTTCTAGTGACTTAGGGGTCAGTGTGCTATCGATCCATGATCAGTGGGAGGTGTTTGATGGGTACCAGGAAGTATAAGTGTTTGATCACTGACGTAGGTATCTGTAAAGTGTTTGTTATCAAAAAGATCCATGTCCTTAGGTGTCCATTACAACTGTATCTTCAGACCTGGAAATGTACAGGCTTGGATAGATAAGTAGATCTAGTAGCAGACAGTGAAGCATTCATCACAAAATCTCTAGTGCATGCTACCACCATCTTCAGATCTACGTACATTCAACCAACAAATATACACTAAATATCATCGATTAAATATGGCTGTCCTGTTTGAACACTGGGAACACTAAAGCCAACATTCTGTATGTTGTGCTCATGTAGGCCATCGTTTCAAGCCTGACATGTCAACACTAAGCTAATCACTACACTTCACATTCCAGCTTAATTGTTTCTGCTGGACTGTAACTGTGCGATCATTTACTCCACGGTAAGAATGGACAACATGTTGATATAGGCAAATATATAACTCTGAAAATCATGATTTAGCCGAAGGCTGGTCCTCACTACAGGCGATTATTTTCTAAAACGTGCAAATCAGGTGATAGCTTGAATGTTCTACCCTATTCTCATAATTTTTAGGCGTTGATACGAGGATTTACGGTAGCGTGCACTGGTCGATATAGAAATTAATGTATCATTCACCGTTAGTAACAGAAACAGGGTGAATTGCTTCCTTTTCATACTTTCATAATAAACGTGGTTATAATAACAGTTTAAACTGATTACTTTATAAATGTGTTAATGCAAAAAAAGTGTGCAATCCGCCCATTTTATCGTAAACTGATGTAATAGTTTAGTTGATGTGAGAGTATGCTGGTACACCATCCCTTCATCGGTACCCTCACAGATCCTCGGTGTGGTATGCAGCTATAACCCCTGCAGCTGCAGCTGTGTGGAGGTCGGCTTTTGTAATGTTATACATGTATATGAATATACTCGATAACGTCTACTTCATGGTGTTCGTGTTATGTATTACCTGATGACCAGAGTGAAGTCTTTTGCCTTTGTATACACATCGCTGCCTATCATAACGTGTCGTGTGTGACTGCACCCGTCGTTGTTGAGTGGGTTAGCATAGAGGTTAAGGTATTCGCTCACCACACTTAACCACCGAGTTCGATTCTCTCCCAGCTGTAAAATGTCTAACATAATGCTGACTTGGCAACGAGGAAGGTTCAACAGAAGGGAGGTAATTCAAGTGTACAGATGTTTTGAGTTTTCCATCAAATCACAATCCTGTCTTAAATGTAAACCGAATTCCCACTTTGGATAATTAAATAAATATTCACTATCGTAACTTGTATAATGAAAAGTGGGTTTTTCTTCAAATAATCATATCCATTAGTGGTCAGTCATTCTTCTTTGGTAATAGGGGCGATTGGGTAGCCTAGTGGTTAAGGCGTTCGCTCGTCACGCCGAAGACCCGGGTTCGATTCCCCACATGGGTACAATGTGTGAAGCCCATTTCTGGTGTCCACCGCCGTGATATTGCTGGAATATTGCTAAAAGCGGCGTAAAACTAAACTCACTTACTCACTCTTTGGTAATATTCACTAGACTTATATGTCCCTCCTTGTCAATATGAAGTGGAGAATGTGTTATGTCCAAAACGATTCGCCAATCCATTACGTCAAATCGGTGTTCGCTCCGATTATATTTCCAGGTCTTAAAGCACCACCCCGTGTTGTTAGAAGCGGTGTTAGACCAACGTCACTACAACGGCAGTGATTGGATGAAGTTTCAAGGAAGTCATACATGATGGAATTGGTTCAAGTTCTGATGGTAATGGAATCTGAGCCAAACAGACCGGTGATGGAGAGTATGAGTAACTGCCACATCATCAGGTCACAATGACCTGATCTGGCAGTTAATAGCGTGTGAAGTACTGCCGCTTATTCTTCTGTTCGGGAAAATGAAAACAAACTCACAGTGAAACTTTATTACGCCTCACGTCATTGTGCCCACAATCCATGCATATCCATAACACGTACCTTCACTGATTCCTCAACTCTCAACACAGTCGAATCTCGCTGTGTCAAATGCAACCGTCTCGACATGTTATACAACTCCCAGTACCAAGGCTCCCACATTCACGATTTATACATTCAGAATACCCCTCGAACTCAACCCGGTTATCTCCCCTTGGTCCATTCTCCGAGGAAATAACAGATTTGGCTGCAAAAATACTACATCGCCAGGGAATCACATTGCGTCAGCTGTCAGTGTAAACCTGTGATAAAATACTCTCACTCCGAAATTCACGACAGTATGAGTTACGATTGGAGAATAAGAGAAATTCTGCAGATTCAACCATTTCGATTACCGTGAATATTGCTCTTGTATGACCCCAACAGTCCAGTTAACAAGAACAATCTATTTATGTCTTTTATTCTGACGCAGTAAGGGAATCGACCCTCCATCCCTCCGCTCTCATTGCAATCGCTTTATCCACTGTACCACCAGAAGATCCAACGAAAAAATCGTACAATTAGATGATAATAAATATATATTAAATGTTCTTTCTAGCCAAACTCACTACCAAATATTCCCGCTTGACCTAATTCCGTTCTCCCAAACTACCCCCACAAGAGGAACGTATTGTATGGTCCTTTCTTTACAGACCCGTGGAGGTCCGGGTTAGAATGAACCTCCAGTAACCCATGCTTGTCGTAAGAGGCGACTAACGGGATCGGGTGGTCAGGTTCGCTGACTTGGTTGACACATGTCATCGGTTCCCAATTACGATCGATGCTCATGCTGTTGATCACTGGATTGTCTGGTCCAGATTCGATTATTTACAGACCGCCGCCATATAGCTGGAATATTGCTGAGTGCGGCGTAAAACTAAACTCACTCACTCACTCCTTTCTTTACAATAACATACATTATGTACGTATTCCTGCAAAATATTCATAGTTCGTGTGAATCACATCTTCATCAGTTAACATGAACAAATGTTGTGATTGGTTCGTTTGAAAAATATATTTAGATGAAAATCTGACTAATTGATCGTGGCCTACAGGTGTCCTAAATACAATTATATATCGATAAGGCCTTACCTTTACAAAACAAACTACTTCAAACAGATGCTATTCTCATTATCTCTTTGTTTCGTCTTGTGATATTATGTATTCCACACTGTGCCTGTTGATAGTAAACGGAATCAGTCAGCAGCACCTTTGTATCGAAGGATCGACTTTCACACTGCTTTGTTTTACTGTCTAACGCCGCACTCAGCTAAATGTCAGCTATATGGCGGCCGTTATTAAATAATCGGGTTTGGACCAGACAGTCCAGTGATCAACAGTATGACCATCTATCGACGCATTTGGGATACGATGACATGACTCAACCCAGTCAGCGAGCCTGACCAACCGATCCCGTTAGTTGCCTCTTACGACTAGCATGGGTTGATGTAGACCAATTCAAACTTTCAGATTTTGGGGCATAATGGATGTGACCCTCTTGTTTTGTAATAATTCTTTCCAAGTCGTCATGTAAATTACGGATTGTGGCGAACCTATTTATAAGTTATTAAAAGTTACTGGTCATCTGTGTAACGGAACATGGATGTTAAAGGCTCAATTCCAGGTCGTTAAATACATAGGTGGCATCGGTTTTATTATAGTGCCAAACAGTTGATCGTGTGGCAAGAGCAATGTTCAATCAATGGAAACTGGCATTCCCAGACGCTGACGTCCAGCATGCTTGTTGTGTCAAACAGTTTGACGTTGTGTTGAAATCTTCCTACTATTGGAAAAAAACTGACACATTCACATTGGTAGCAAATATGGTAGCTCGTTGTCAACCAGTTTGATCGCACGTTCAGAACAATGCCCCATTGTCGGAATCACAGAAGAAGCAGATGTCTAGTAAAGGATGCCTATTGTGTCATCCCGTTTGATCGTGTGTTCAAATCAATGTCTTTTCATTGGAAACAACTGACATCATTCACAGAAGCAGATGTCTAGTAAAGGATTCCCCTGTGTCATCCCGTTTGATCGTGTGTTCAAATCAATGTCCCATCATTGGCAACAACGTTCTGATCAGAATAAAATTATCCGTAGCAAGCGGAGATATGATGGCGTGTGTGGTTTGTGCGCGCCACGGTCTGCGTGGAGACTGGATCAGCTTGCTCTGAGATCTGTCTGACTGTGATCTCTACCGTTAGGGACCTCGAACGGCTTGTCTTCTTTTGGACAGGGAACAGGGTCGGTTGGTCTCTGCTCGAAAAAGTCGATGACTACAGTTTCGGACGCCATCTGAAATTCATTACAATGATCACAATTATTCATTACAATGATCACAATTATTCATTACAATTATCATTACAATGATCACAATTATTCATTATTACAATTGTCAATTGTTATGTTTGTTTATTGTTTAACACCGCACTCAGCAATATTCCAGCTATTTGGCAGCGGTCTGTAAATAATCGAGTCTGGACCAGTGATCAAGTGACCAGTGACATCCAGTGATCAACACCAGGAGCATCGATCTACACAATTGGGATAAGATGATATGTTTCAACCAAGTCAGCAAGTCTGACCAACCGATCCCGTTAGTCGCCTCTTACGACAAGCATGGGTCGCTGAAGATCAGTTCTGACCCGGATCTTCACGGGTTAATATTTCAGAGAAACAAAGATAGTTTTATCAACTGGATCTGTAACACACTGACAAGAATGGATAAGGGAAACACTTATGACGTTGAACAACAAACGCATCAAGTTACCTCTGGACTGGCTTTGAGCAATTCCTTCACAAAGTTATGTAGCTCCAATTCCCGGGCCTCCGCCAGGCCCCGCGTATACCGTCTGTACCAGCGTTTACCTGGCAAATAAATACATGAGTGAGTGAGTTTAGGTTTACACCGCTTTTAGCAACATTCCAGCAATATCACGGCGGGGGACGCCAGAAATGGGCTTCAAACATTGTACCCATGTGGGGAATCGAATCCGGGTCTTCGGCGTGACGGGCGAACGCTTTAACCACAAGGCTACCCCACCGCCCCGTAAATAAAATTAATGAAGACAACACACTGACTTCACTGGAGTAATGGAAAGTCAGCTAATTTCAAACAGACTGTGCGGCTATTAGTTCAGTGGAGCAATGATCTCTGACGACCCACAGACCTTAAACTGCACAAAGCCGAGTATTTACCTTCTCTATTGTGCGACCTTGGAAGCCAAGTACGTTCCTGTACATTTAGTCTTGGTGTCTGTTCGAGATATTCGTTGTAGTAGGTCAAGAATATTTCAAGATTCGTAAAACGGTATTACCGGATGTGTGTACCAGGCTGACATAGGTTAACGGTAAACGACTGCCACTCTCCAGTTATCCAGTATATTATATTACCTGTATGTTGTAACATGTATCCTGCTCTCTTTGCATTCCTTAAATTCACGGTGGTATATACAGCCACCCAATTACGTTACTCTCTTGAGGGAGTAAGTCGTTACAGGGTTCGATATTACAGAGATGAAGGTTGCGACCTCCATTGCGAAAAGAAAATTAAGCGGCGCATGGGTCCAGGGTATTTAGCAAGACGGACTGTAGACAGACTGCATGTGATAATACATGTGAATCTGTAAATGTGTGATGACGCATATATGTACGTTCACCACCGTATTATATACGTAGTAATAATATCCCATTTTTCAAATATATGGTTCCTTAAAACTGAAAAGTCAGAACCCACAAACAGACAGCCTGTGAATGTATTTTTGTTGACTTACTTAAGATAAGAATTTACCTCAGTGGGGCGGGGTTTTCATATTTTACATGTGTACACGATGGGAATATTGAAATCAATCGTTAAATTATGGAACCCTAGAAGGGACATTGTTGCGTTGTCGCCCTCACGAAAGCAAGCTTAAAGTGGCAAAATTAGCCAAAGCGCGACAACGCAACATATTCATTATGTCGCGTTGTCGCGCATTTTAAGGCTTTTTTACACATCTAGATGGGTCGTCAGAGCCACAATACCACATAGTGGCCTTGAATATTGTCGCTCTGTCACCCTTTGGATGAATAAAAAAAATATTATTCAAAGCGCGACAATGCGACATAGCGGCAATGTGACTAACGGCCAAAATGTCCATTCCAGGATTCCATATATAATAGATGAAGGTGATGTTCCGTTAAGGCGTTGGATTCATCGTAGGTACCAACATAAGACAGGAAGTAAAATGAGCCATATACACTGGCACACGACTCAGAAATATATAGTATGACCAGAAATTATTGAGAATTTTAGGAATATGTTTAATTGGATTTCTAGTATAAACAACCTTGACCAGCTATCAAGTACTTGGTTTCATTCAAGAAAGACAACTCCGTTAATCCTTTTTCATTAGTTTGTGAAGAGTTATCCCCCCTTTGTTTACTTGCTAGCAGACGACATTTTCAGTGATCCTCAGTATGGATGATGTAGAGAAGAGGAAGTTGATTTTAGAGTATTATAACAAGGACATCAGATCAGCTAAAGTGATTTCAAGCAGAACAGGCATCCCTTTGTCCACTGTTTATCGTGTTTTGAAAAATATTGCAAATGGATATGGCATTGAGCACCAGGGAGGCGCAGGTAGGCCCAGAAAATTGACTGTCGGTGACAGGAGGCAGCTTGGTATTCTTGTTTCTAAAAACAAACGAAGGAGTTTAGAAAACTTAAGGCTGGATATGATTGATAGAGGAACTGTGGCTGTCTGTAAGGAGACAATTAGAACTGAGCTGCATGCAATGGGTTGGCAGAAAAGTCGAGGAATTCCATCACCGATCATGAAACCTGAACAAAAGGAGCGAAGGTTGAACTGGTGCTTACAGCATAGAAATTTTAACTGGGACAATGTGATTTTCTCAGATGAAAGTTCTGTGTGGCTGTTTCCTAATACACTGAAATTCTGGACCAAACAAACTGAAAAACCTTTGTATCAGCGCCCAAAGTACAGTCCGAAATTTAACGTGTGGGGTGGCATATCTGTCTTAGGGGCAACGCCCCTCTGTGTATTTGAAGGCAATATGAACAGTGAGCGGTACACATATATTCTAGAGGGACATTTACTTCCATCTGCTCACGTGTTCTATGGACATTTTTCGGATTTTCCAGCAGGACAATGACCCAAAATATCGTTCAAAGCCTGATTTCGGACCCAAAATATGACATTATTAGATTGGCCAAGCTATAGCCCTGACCTAAATCCAATAGAAAATGTTTGGGGACTTATGAAGGAAAGTGTCAATAAGAAAAATCTGACATATATTGCTGAAATGAAAGAAGAGGTGGTCCGATAGTGGGACAGCATGGACCACGACTTTCTAACTTCTTTGATCAGTAGTATGCCCCGCCGCATTGAAGCCTGCATTGCTGCCCATGGTGACTTGACAAATACTAACTGTTCACCTGTCTTTGAATCTGGTGTTATGTTCTGCTAATATTCACATTTAATACGTGAGTAATGAGTGAAAAAATTAAAAAATTACAATCTTTAAATTCTCAACAATTTCTGGTTGTACTGTATTTCGTTTCTGTTGCTAAGGAAACAGAATTTTCTATAACCGCAAAGGCCCTGTCAAACGTCAAACGAGGCTGATTAAATTCGATTTTTGAAATATGTCTCAGATATATTTTCTCTGCTCACTGATCGGCACCATAGCTCAACGGTTTAAGGCATTACGATGGGCGTAGCAGAACAAAAACGTCACTAAGCAGGACAAGGATCCACCGATGGTGGGTTCGAATCCCAGTTTCGCCCTTACCACGATCCTGGGTTTGTGGACGCCACACATCGTAGTTGTGTGTTTCTCATGAAATGATTAGCGTCAACAGTTCAAATCATTGTGGGTTTGACAACACTGAATCTTACACTAGATACCTGAAATACTGATCAAAGCGACCTGAATCACCCTCTCATTTCCCCCATACTGTTCAGTGTTTACACACGTAGATGAGAAGTAAGTCAACGCAGTGTGTCCCCACCTGACTTGGGCTCGTTTGTATTCCTGAAAATGTCAAAAACATTCCATGTGGTGGCTCTGTGCTAAAGGCCATTGACATACCTCGCTTACCCCCGGGGAAACGAAACTAGGGCAATTGTGAGGGTCGGGATACGGTAATAACCAGAATAACATGCCTATGACATCGTTTACTCTTGAACTCAATTTTTTCGATATGTCGGGCATTATATATATTATTATATACATAGAGAAACATGTTTTCGTGAGGTTTTTTCATGCACGGGAAACAACGTATATTCCCAACTTGTGTTGGACCCAGAACACAACAGTAAGCTAGCATTTAAAATATTTGTTGTTATCAAGTTAAATCCACCAATATTTATTACACAACATTATAAATAATCTGATTGTTTGAGGGTCCAACTAAGTCTGACGCAGAAACATCGCCAGTGCATGGGCAGCGTTTACTGAGACATTTTTATACCAAAACTTTACTTTTTCTTACTTCTAAACCAAGTAAATGAAAAAACAATATGGCCAGAATTCTATTAATGCCTCGTTCTTCTCTTATCACAGAATTGAAGCCGGTTATTCAATCAGCTTGGACTGTAGTTAATGGTCGTAAAGGAACGGTATTCTTGCCAAGGAGGTCAGACTCCAGCAATTCATGCCACATCTCGCGGGAGCGAGTAAACAATAACGCCGAGATAAAAGATGAAACAGCATGGTTCACGGGCCAAATGGCAAATATCAAGATGGCGGCCGCGGTTACAGTTGTCTCCCCTGGGTGCTATATCTTTCGCCGTTTCATCGCTGTGCAAAGAGTGACTAGACGCTAGTTATTTGTGATATGAACCATGCTTGATTTTAAGAATAGAAAATCGTGACTGGATTCACGAATGAACAAAGAAAGCATTTGAGGATGCGCGGTGCTTGTCTTCGTATTATTGAGTCGTGTGTTATATTTCACAAGACGAAACTTGTCACATAAATCAAATATCATTATTTCGCACTACTGTCCTAAATGTATTATAGCCAGACTAACATCTAGTCTCTGAAATGAACATATTTTGCATAAAAAAACTGTTAACAAACACTAATCGTAAAATATAATGAAAAGGGGGCCAAATAAAAAAAATTCATTTTCCTGAAACTGTGGAAATCTAGACTTGCCACATATTCTAGACTTGCATTGGCTTTCATGGATATATTTGTTCCAGGGTCAGTATTACAGAATACATTAAAAATTAACCACTGTTTGTAGTTTTCTTGGAGGTATTGTTACACTATTGCGCCCCGTGTATTGGGTTTCTTGAAAGTTGAAGTTGAAATAAAGGAAACAAGTGAGACCGCCTCGCGTGTTTCATATTTAGAATATGCATAAAGACTGAGTAGGACAGAAATCTCTCAGCAAGGCTGTAGGACAAAAGAGGTTATTTCAACTTTCCAGAAGTCAACTTCCCTTTCATGTCGAGCAATATTCCAGCAGCTCCAGCATTTGGTGTTTACATTTCACAACGTTTGAGGTACAGTCGAGCATGCTCGTTTCATCAAGATTTCAAAGAGCTTCACACGACTCAAAAGTTACAACAGGTTACACCATTCAAGGCCTCAGTAAAGCTTTCAAAAAGTCTATGTGGCTACAGACATGTGGAGGACATTTCCAAAAATTGTCTGATGCAATCCCCAATTTTGACTTTTGACCGTTCGTTCCCGAATTATTTCAGGTGACTAGCCTTTACGTGCGTTTATGACGGTTGCCACCGGAGGGTCAGGATATGCTACCCTCTCCTCGAACACCAGGTATCATCACTATTTGATAGTGATTCATAAACACATGCTCTGTCGTCGTATATCATGAGGGCGGTGGGGTAGCC